AAAAAAAAAAAAAAAAGAATGCACTCATTCAAAAACATCTTGGGCCAGGCTCTGTTGTCTGCTGGGGTGACAAGAGACAACATGGAGGGATCAGCAGATGGCATAGTGGTTACATTGCTGGGCTCTCACATGGCCAACCGCAGTTCGAGTCCTAAACCTGGTGGGTTGAAACTCACAACCGGCACATGTACATGCATGCCCAAGATCCCGGGAGGAGAATGGAGAAGGGATTGTGGCGTGGCCATACTCCTTGGGGTGTGATTTCTCATTTTCCCTCTCACTGTCTCTGTCTCTCTCTCTGGTGAGTATACATGCCCTAAGGCAAAAACCTCTACTCAAAAAAAAAAAAAAAAAAGAGAGAGAGAATATAGAAGGGCTCTGAAAAGGGACATTAAACAAAGAAAAAAAGATAGGGCCAGCAGGTGGCACAACGGTTAAAGGCTCTGGACTCCCACATGGCCAACTGTAGTTCAAGACCCAAACCTAAAAAACTCTCTCTCTCTCTCTCTCTCTCTCTCTCTCTCTCTCTCTCTCTCCCTGGTGAGTCATGTGCTCTATACCAAATTAAATAATAATAATAATTAATAAGGGGCCAGTAGGTTGCCTGGTGGCTAAGGCACTGGACTCCCACGTGGCCAACCACAGTTCGAGTCCTGGACCTGGTAGCTTACTTTCTCACTTTCCCTCTTCTTTCTCTATCTCTCTCTTTCTCTCTCTGCTGAGCACACTGCCCTATAGCAAAAAAAACCTTAAAGATAATAATAATAAATAAAATAAATAATATAAAATAATAATTAATAAAATTAAATAAACAATTCTTTTTTAAAATAAAGAATTTATTTTTAATTTGACCAGAGAGAGAGACACACAGAGAGAGAGAGAGAGAGAGAGAGAGAGAGAGAGAAAGTGAGAAAGCAAGCTATCAGGTCCAGGACTGAAACCGTAGTCAGCCATATGGGAGTGTCCAGCACCTTAACCACCACGCCACCTGCTGGTCCCTAAATAAATAATTCTTTAAAAAAAGATAAAGACAGAATTCAGTCTAACCTTTTCTTTGCACACCTCATTGACTCCTGGCAAATGAGGAACTGGCACGTCTAACCCCAAGCTTCTGGGGATAGGGTGGAGCTGGTACCAGCATCTAGGAGGCTGTAGGGGTTCCCAGAGGATTTAGAGGTTTCCCACTCTTCCCTGGCGGGCTGTGCAGGAGGGAAGGGAGGAGGGCTGGAGCACCTCCCGCTGGACAGCCCGGCCTGCAGCTTTGAGCCAGGCGGGGAGCAGAGCGGAGTGCGAAGGTGACGCAGAGCTGGGATTAGCCTGGCTGGGCTGAGGCGGGGAGGGGAGGCTCCAGGAGCTGCAGGGTGGCCAGAGAGGGGGTGCCATCGGTGAAGGCACCATGCCGCTGCAGGACGACACCCTCCGGGAGGTGTGGGCTTCAGACAGGTCCGGAAGCCCCACCTCACCCCCCTGTGGCCCTACCTGAACCCTGGGGGGTTCTGACGTGGAGCTGGGGGTGGGGGCGGGCAGGGAAGGGAGAGGAGCCAGGCTGACCCCTCTGCTACCCTCAGCGGGCACGAGGAAGGAGGTCCGAGTCCGGAGGCCCTGCGGCGCCCCAAACAGGTATGCCCCCCCTTGGAAAGGAGGCAGAAAGAGCCCCCCCAGCCAGAAAACCCCTACAGGGAGGGTCAGGGGTGGGCAGGTCCCCCTCAGCAGAGTCTGCGGGGTTGCCCATCTGGAGTTCGGGGACAGGCGAGAAGGGAGGTTTGGGACGGAGTACCTAGGGGCGCCGAGGCTTTGGGGCGTGGAGGTGGCCGCGCTGCACGGACGGGCCATCCTTCCTCGGTGCAGGAAGGGAGCAGCGCTCTCCTCCCCTAATCCAGGTTATTCCTGGCGGCTGCGGAGATTAGCCCCTCTCCCCCTCGCCCTCCTCTTCACGCCCTTTCTCCCATCTGTCCCGGGACAGAAGCTGAGGAAGAAGAGGACAGAGACCCCCGAGTCCCCCTGCCCCAAGGGAGCCAAGCCTCGGAGACCCGGAGGTGGGCGGGGAGCCCCCCACGGTGGGACCTGGGACAGGGAGGGAAGGACCGGGCCGGCAAGGGGATCCTGACCCGGACGCCTGGGGGCCACCAGGGGTAGGAGGCCCGGGAGGGGTGTCGCCGGCCGAGACAGGTCCCAGGGGAGCCCCCGGGTGAGGGGCCCGAGGGCGCGGCCAGGCTGGGGGTAGGGCGCCGCCTCCGGGCACCCGGGTGCAGCCTGAACCCCGCATCTCGGCTCAGCCGTGCGGAGGGGAAGGCCGCGGGAGGAGCCCCCCTCGGCCCCGGTAGAGGCTCGGGCGCCGCCGACCGTCTACACCAAGTTCCTCAGGGACCCCACAGCCAAGAAGCGCGACCACCAGAAAAGCTTCCTGGTCGCCCGAGCCCCGGACGCGGAGGACGGTGAGGGGGGCACAGGAGGGCTGGGGGGCGCTGGGCAGGCAGGACCCCGGGGAGAGGGGGAAGCTGGGAAGTCAGCCTCCTCCGCCTGGTCTTGGAGCCAGTATGTTGGCTGAGCACCACGGGGATGAGGTCGGTGTCTGCTTCTCTCCCCCGAATTTACAGATGGGCAAACTGAGGCAAGGAGAGAGTGGTTTTTTTGTTTGTTTGTTTGTTTTAAAGAGCTTGGCTAAGAGGAGTTTGTTTTTTGGTTTTTGGTTTTTTTTTTTTTTTTTTAGGATTATTTTATTTTGGGAACCAGCAGTTAGCGTAATGGCTATGTCGCTGGACTCCCACGTAGTCAACCGCGGTTCGTGTCCCGGACCCGGGGGGTACAAGTCTCCCACACAAGCCGGTTTCAGAGTTGCTGCCAGGCCTCGTAAACTCCAGAATATGGCCTTCGTAGTCTCAAGGGACTTTGTGCGTAGATAAAGCACAGACTTTTATCTCACCATATTTGTCTTGTTCCCTTTCTCTTTTGAAAAGTGAAATTTAGAGGTTTTTTTAAAAAAAGAAATTATGGGGACCAGCAGATGGCGTGGTGGTTAAGGTGCTGGACACTCCCATATAGCCGACTAGGGTTCGAGTCCTGAATCTGGTGGCTTGCTTGTTCACTTCCTCTCTCTCTCACTCTCACCCTCTATCTCTCTCTGGTCAAATTAAAAGATAAATGAATGAATGAATAAAATAAAATAAATAATTAAAAAAAGAAAAGTCATGATGCTTTAAAAAAAAAGAATTATTTTATTTAACATTATTTACTTATTTATTTTAATTTGACCAGAGAGAGACAGAGTGAGAGAGAGAGAGAAAAAGTGAGAAAGCAAGCTGCCAGGTCCGGGACTCGAACCATGGTTGGCCATGGGAGTGCAGCGCCCTTATCCATCACGCCACTGGCTGGCCCCTGCATAGGGGAGTTTTAAATCACAGCTGGGAGCCAGAAGTAGCCCAGATGAGTCTGACTCACGCAGACAGACAAGGAGGGGAGCCGCAGAGTGGGCACAGTGGCGGGAAAGAGGCAGACAGAGCAGAGGAGGGGTTGTGGCAGGTCCACCCCAGAACAGCTTCCTCCCATCCAGCCTGCTGTCCTGACCTGCAGATCCCACAGTCCGGGGTGGCCCTTGTTCTTCCAGGAAGGTGCTCAGCTTCTCCTGTCCCTGTTCCAGAAGGGCAGCTCCCACCCCCACTGCCCGCTCACCACTCCCCAGCAAGCTGGAGGGGCTGGGCGCCCTGGATAAGGGGGCTTACCCAAGCCCCATTATGAGGAGTTTCTACCTACAGAGGAGGAGGAAGATGAGGAGGACGACGATGAGGAGGAGGAAGAGGAAGAAAAGAAAAAGAAACTCCCTCTGCCTGCCAAGAAGTCCCCCAGAGGGAGGACTTCTATAGACATGAAAGAGAGGAGAGCCAGGGCCTTGGGCCCGAGAGGTGGGTGTTGAGGGCAGAGCGGCTCATCGGTTAGAACTCTAGCCCCTGCCTTCTAGGCCTAGGGGTGCCCCTGACACTCGGGCATGGAGACCTCCAGTTACCCACTGCCTTGACCAGAAGTTTCTTCCCCCACGACCCTCATAGACAGCGACGAATACGTGCTCCCCCCCCAGCAAGAGACAGAGAGAGAAAGGGAAAGTGAGAAAGCAAGCCTCCAGGTCCAGGACCCAAACCATGGTCAGCCATGTGGGAGTACAGCGCCCCAACCACCACGCCACCTGCCGGTCCTTAAATGTTCTTTTTTTTTTTTATGCACTACAGGGCACAAGTGCTCCCCAGAGGGAGACGGGGACAGACAGAGAGGGAAAGTGAGAAAGCAGCCCCCAGGGGGTGACCACGCCACAATCCCTTCTTCTCCATTCTCCTCCTGGGATTTTAGACACACATGTACACACATACTGGGCATGTTTTTCAAGCCTCATGATCCAAGACTCGAGCTTTGCTTCGGCCACGTGGAATCTGGATGCCTTAACCATCACACCACTAGTTTTTGTTTGTTTGCTTGTTTTTGTTTTGTTTGTTTTAAACATAGTGTGAAGCATTGTTCAAATTTTTATAGATGTTGGGGCCGGCAGGTGCATGGTGGTTAAGGGTGCTGGACTCCCACATGGCTGACTGCAATTTGAGTGTCAGACCTGGTGGCTTGCTTTCTCACCTCCTCTCTCTCTCTCTTTCTCTCTCTCTCATCAAATTAAAATTAATAATTAAAGTAATTTTTTTTCTTAAAGAATTATTTTATTTATTTACTCATTCATTTATTTTTTTAATTTGACCAGAGGGAGACAGAGAGAGAGAGAGAAAGTGAGAAAGCAAGCTACCAGGTCCCAGACTTGAACTATGGTCAGCCATGTGGGAGTCCAGGACCTTAACCACCAGGACCAGCACCTTAACCACCACGCCACCTGCTGGTCCCAAATAAATAAAGTAATTCTTTTTTTTTTCTTTTTATTTTTGAGAGGGTTTTGCTATAGGGCACCGCACTCGCCAGACAGACAGAGAGACAGAGAGATACAAAGTGAGAAATCACCCCCCAGGGGAGATGGCCACGCCGCAATCCCTTCTCTTCCATTCTCCTCTCTGGATCTTGAGCACGTATGCACACGCGCCCAGTGTGAGTTTTAAGCTGCCGGGTCCAGGATGCGAACCGCGGTCGACTACATGGGAGTCCAGTGACATAGCCATTATGCTAACTGCTGGTCCCAATAAAGTAATTCTTTAAAAAATTTTTTAATAGATGTTATTGAACCAGCAGGTGCCATGGTGGTTCAGACACTGAACTCCCACTTGGCCTACTGCAGTTTGAGTCCCGCACCTGGCAACTCGAAAATCACACCAGGCACATGTGCAAACACACCCCAAATCCCAATAGAATGAAGGAGAAGAGATTATAGTGTGGCCATCCTCCCAGGGGGTGATTTCACACTTTCCCTCTCTCTGTCTTTCTGTCTCTCTTTCTCTCCAGCAAGTGTATGCACCTTTTGGTAAAAACCTTCTAAAAAATCATAGCTGTTATCAAAGTGATTACAATCAAAAGCCGAAGAGTAAATGTCGTGAGGGCTGCCGGCCTGGGTGCCTCACCCTGTAGGTACCAGCGGTTCGATCTACATGTGTACACACAGCTGGAACCGCTGACCTCGGGCCTCGGAGGGAGGGAGCGAAGGGGGCGAGCCCTTCTGCAGTGGAGGCCAGAGAAGATGTCCTGGGAGACACAGGTGAAAGGCGGGATTCGGGGGCTCCGCTGGAAGGCCTGGCTGTTCCTTCCTTCCTTGAGTCGGCCAGCCTCCTGCTCGTGAAGCTCCTGAACTCCGTCTAGGCATTTTGGGGTTTTTACTTCTAGGATGAAAACCACACAAGACAAGCAGAGGGCAGACTGTGGGCCCTTGTCAGGGCTTCGGCCTCCCTGGGGGCTGCAGGAAGGACGAGTGGCTTGGGAGGTGGCCGTTTGCCCCAGAGCTTCCTTCTTGGTCTAAGGCCCACTTTCCATTTCCAGGAGACCTGGGGAGCCCTGACCCCTCCCCGAAACCTCTCCGCCTTAAGAAGAAGGAAGCCGGGGAGAAGACCAAGCTAAGGAAGAGCAAGAAGAAAGGTGAGCCTGGCCTACCAAGGAAGAGGGGACTGCGGGAGCAGCAGGGCCGTGACCCTTCACATCCTACATGCAGGGTCTGGGGAGGCGGGCAAGGAGTCCGCAGAGAGCCCGGCCAGAGCGAGGAAGAAGAACCTGGCGGCCATGTTTCAGGTCGGGGAAGGCAGCCCCGCCCAGAAAGCGCTGAAGAAGAAAGGTGGGTAGGGGATGCTGCCGCTGTGCCATCTGGAGGTGGGCCTTCCATCACGGGGTGCAGTGCACGGGTGCTAGAGTCAGAGACGTTGGGGGCAGCTGGCCTGCTCTGTGCCAGCTGTGTGGTCTCGGGCAGCTGTCTTCACCTTGCTGAGGCTCCAATGACCTGGGCCTGGCCCCCTTGTGGCCATGGGGAGGGAGGGGGAGACCGGGTGTTGGAAGCACTTTGCAAACTGGGGTAAGGAGTTCGCGCCTTGTCTCCTCTCCATGCTCAGGCACCCACAAAGGTCCAGACGGGGATGAGGAGGAGGAGGAGGAGGAGGAGGAGGCCACCGCTGCAGGCACCAAGAACAGCAACCAGAAGGGCAAAGCGAAAGGCAAAGGCAAAAAGGTTGGGGCCGAGAGGGCTGGGGCTGAGGTCCCTGGGGGCCCAGCAGCCCGGCCTGGGCTCGGGAGACTAGGGCATGCACCTCGCGCCTGGGGCCGTGTAGTCACGTAGTCAGAGTCCTGGCTCCCCCCGTGACAGGCTGTGAGGACCAAGGACACCAGGTTCATGAGGACAGAAGCACATTTGTGGTCCCCGGGCTAGGACTGGCCACCCGGGGCCTCATGTCATCTGGTGTCTGGGACATCCCTTTTGCAGCGTAACCCTCAGCCCCAGCTCCCACGTGAAGAGACGCATTTCTATACCAGAGAGGGGGGCACACACCTCTAGTCACGCCGGCGATGGACAGGCTGAAATAGGGCCTCCGACTGCCCGAGCTCCCCGAGCGCTGCTTCCTCTTTCTTAATGACAGATTGCTGGAGTTAAGGGGCACCATTTTTTTTTAGTTTGCTTTAAAGCGTGTGTGCTTGTCAGAGAGGAAAGCAGAGAAAGAGGGGCAGTGAGAAAGCACCCCCAGGGGGGATGGCCACGCCATAGTACCTTCTCCATTCTCTCAGGGTTTTGGGCACACACACACACATGCACACATGCACACACATGCTTGGTGTGTTCCTGAAACGACTGGGTCCAGGACTCGAACCTCTTAGTCAGCCCTCTGGGATCCAGCCACCTTAACCACCACACCACTGGCTGGCCTTGGGGGTCACTATTTTTGATAGGCCCTTGCCAAGTAATGATGCCCCTGCCCAGCCTCCCAGTTAGCTAGGACCACAGGTGCACACCTCCATGCCCAGGCTGCTTAGACTAGACCCAGGACCGAATTCAGGCCTCCCCACGGCCTTGGCCAATGTGCAGGTGTCCTCCTGCTTGTGCCATTGTGGCTGGGCCCCCAAGCACTTTTCACAACCCACCCAGGGCCTCCCAACCTCCCAGCAACTAGGCAATCCAGCGCCTAAGAGGTTACCATCTGGTGGTCAGGGGCCTCCAGCAGTCTCCGTCCTTACAGATTATAGTGTCTGCCCACGCGCGGGGCTCAAGCACCAACACATGCTGAGGTGGGCAGGGGAGGGAGGTCAGACAGGAAGTGAAGTCTTTGAGAAACAGGTCTGCCTCGTGGAGCGATCGCCACCGGGGCCTGGTCTTAGCTTTGTGGGCTTACTAGCGGGTCGTCGGGAGAGTCAGGACGCACACTTGCATGGAGAACCAGAAAAATGTGTCAAGACTTTTCCGACGACCCAAGAGTTTGTATGGAAGTCAGCAGATCCTGGGGGACTGATTCACATGAACCAAGATCACCAGTAGCTGATGTATACACCGGAAGCCCAGTTTCTGACCTCCCCGAGGATTGCAGGGAAGCCTTGGGACAGTAAGTCCTCGAAGCTCACAGCCTGGGAAGAGTCTGAATAAGCTCTGGCCCTCCACCTCACATTCCAGGCATAGTCTGGTGTTTCCCAAGTTTTTTCTGGAGGAGACTAGATGGTCACTTCCCCCCCCACCCCGGCCCCGGGCAGGCCCTAAGGGCCTGCTTTCCCACACCAGCCTCACCTCTCTGCCCTCAGCGAAAGGGTCAACGCAGCAGCTCAGGGCTTCCTGGGGGCTCAGTGACAGGAGTCCTCGAGGGCACACACATTTCTGACAGGCTGGCTGTCCACTCTCCCTGCTGGGAAAGCTGGGCTTAGGACCTCGGCTCCCGCCGTGAGCGATAGGCTGTGAAGACAAAGGACAGAGGGACAGTGAGAGCAGAGGGAGCGGCCCTGGGGCCACGGACACCTGCGGGCCTGTGTCACCATGCTTCTGTGAGGAGTTTCTCAATGAGCAGTGAGATTATCCATTCATCACGTATTAGCTCTGTAACAGGGCATCCCCAAACTTGGTGTCTTAAAGCAACAAGCTTTTTAATTTTAGTTTCACTATATAGCACGTCTGTTCAGTGACACAGAGAGAGAGAGAGAGAAGTGAGAAGCCACCCCAACCTGGGGGGCATGGCCACATTGCAATCCCTTCCCCTCCATTTCCCGTCTCAGGATTTGAGCATGCATGCTCGTACACTCAGCGTGGTTTTCGAGCTGCTGGGTCTTGGACTCCAGCTGGGCAGCCGGCTCTGTGGATCCAGGCACCCTCACCACCACGCCACCAGCTGGCCCCAGACATGTATTTTTTTACTTAATTTCTGAGAGCAGGAAGGCTAGGAGTGGCTTAGCTGTGCAGGGTACATCTGACTCAGGGTCTCTCATAAGCTTGCAGGCAAGATGGCGGCTGGAGCTGTGGTCACTCTGCAAGTTTGCCTGAAAATGGAGGAGCCCCTTCTAAGTGGTTCACTGTCATGGCTGACCTCTGGGCCTCTCCGTAGGGCTACTTGAGTGTTCTTTTTTTTTTTTTTTAAGAATTGTTTATTTGGAACCAGCAGTTAGCGTAATGGCTATGTTGCTGGAATCCCACGTAGTCGACCACGGTTCGCGTCCCGGACCCGGTGGCTTAAAATTCACGCCGGGCGCGTGTGCGTGCGTGCCCAGGATCCCGAGAGGAGAATGGAGGAGAAGGGATTGTGGCGTGACCATCCCCTCTGGGGGGGTGATTTCTCGCTTTCTGTCTCTGTGTCTCTCTCTGTCTGTCTGGTGAGCGCACGTGCCCTCTAGCAAAAACCTCTCAAAAATATATTTATTTAATTTTATTGGTTCATTCATTTATTTTAATTTGACCAGAGAGGGACACAGGGAGAGAAGAAGTGAGACAGCAAGTCACCAGATTGGGGACTCGAACCATGGTCGGCCATGTGGGAGTGTCCAGCACCTTAACCACCACGCCACCTGCTGGTCCTACTTGAGTGCTCTTATAACACGCCAGCCAAGTTCTCTCAGGTCTTGAGAGAGCACCAGGCAGAAGCCATATCGTTTATGACCTAGCTTTGGAAATGATCCACCATCGCTCCTGCCATATTCTATTGGTCACAGAGACCAACCTGCTACGCTGTGGGAGGGGACTGCAGGGTGTAAATACTGTGCCAGGAGGCAAGGATCCCTGGGGGCATCGTGGAGGTTGGCTACTACATCGTGGAGGTTGGCTACTAAGTGTTAGCAGGAGCTAACACTTCTGCAATGCTTCCTATGTGCCTGAACACAGCAATGTGCTCCATCTGCCCAAGGCCCCGGACCTAACACGACACTGGGCAGGGCTCCCAGCTCCACCTCCTACTCTTATGTGGACTTGGGCAAGCGCTTGGCTTCTTCACATTCAATGGGAATAACCACCACAGTGGATGATATGAGGAACAAGAGAATACCTGGAAGGTACTGGGGCAAGTAGGTGGCAGAGTAGTTAAAGTGCTGGACTCCCACATGCTCGACTCTGGTTCGAGTCCTGAACCCAATAGCTTGAAAATCACACCGGGCATTGGGACCAGCAGATGACATAATGGTTACGTTGCTGGACTCCCATATGACTGTCTGTGGTTCAAGTCCTGGGCCTTGCTTGAAACTCATGCTGGGTGCGTGTGCATAGGTGCCAAAATCCCAAGAAGAGAATGGAGAAGGGATTGTGGCATGGCCATCCTCTCTGGGGGGGGGATCTCTCACTTTCTGTTCCTCTGTCTCTCTGGTGAGCACATGTGCCCCATAGCAAAAATCTCTCTTAAAAAAAAAAAATAGAGGAAAGAAAATCACACTGGCACATTTCAAGTGTGTGTGTGCTCAAAATCACAGGAGAATGGAGAAGGGATTGCAGTGTGGCCATCCTCCCTGACGGGTGATTTCTCACTTCCCCTCTCACTGTCTCTCTCCTCTCTGGTGAGTGTACAAGCCCAATAGCATAAACCTTAAAAGAAAAAAAAAATTGGAAGGTACTTAGAACCATAGTACATTGGTAGAGTATATAGGAGTGTTTTGTTTTGTTTTGTTTTTTAGAATTATTTGTTTATTTTGACTTATTGTTATTATTTTTTAATTTAACCAACAAGAGACAGAGTGGGAAAGTGAGGAAGCAAGCCACCAGGTCCGGGACACCAGCTGCGGTCCCCCATGTGGGAGTCCAGTGCCTTAACCACTACACCACCTGCCGGCCCCTATATGAGAGTTTAAAAATACCTTTAGTAAGGTCTGTCCCAGCCTCTACTCCACCGTACCTACTTCTCAGATGAAGTAAACGTGGGCTGGCACACATCCCTCCATGGCACAGCAGTAACGCACTGCTTGAGAGAAGCCGGATCCACATGATGACTGTGGTTCGAATCCCTGGCCCGGTCAGCCTGAAACACGCCAGGCATACACAAGAGTGCCTAGGATCTATTGGACTGGAGGGCTGGAGGAAGGGGATCACAGGGTGACCAGACCCCATGAGGGTGCCCCCTCAATGTGAGTGTATACTTATAAGCTCTAGCATGAATAAAAGAAAAATACATTTTAAAAGATGATTTTTAAAAAGAAAGAAAAAAATGAACATAATAGTGGTGGAACCAGATTTGAACCCCTACTTCCTGGCTCCAGGGCCCGAGCTCTTAACTAAGAGCTAAACACAACTCCTGAGCCTTGAGCATGGCCTCCCAGGGAGATGGGGAAGCATGAGGGGCAGGGGCCCCAGGCCCAGGGACCGGCCAGCTGTGGCTGACTTCTGTTCTCTCCGACAGAAAGCGGTGAGTTGTCCTGCTGCCCTGCCTGAGTGCCGCGGGAGACCTGCTGAGGGTGGGGGAGCAGGCGCTCCGGGCTGACCCCCTCCAACCCCCACCCAGAAGGAGGAGAGGGCCCCGTCGCCGCCCGTGGAGGTGGACGATCCCCGGGAGTTCGTGCTGCAGCCCGCCCCCCAGGACCGGACAGTGCGCTGCCGGCTGACACGGGACAAGAAGGGCATGGATCGCGGCATGTACCCCTCCTACTTCCTGCACCTGGACACAGAGAAGAAGGTGGGTGCGAGGTGGAGGGGGGAGGAGTGCACGAGCCACCACCCTTAGGATGGGGACGGCAGGGCACGGGCCGACGGGCTCCCTGTGGGCGTGATTTCCTGCTTTCTGTCTCTCTCTGTCTCTCTGGCGAGTGTGTACACCCCATAGCAAAAATCTCTCTTAAAAAAAAAAAATAGAGGAAAGAAAATCACACTGGCACATTTCAAGTGTGTGTGTGCTCAAAATCACAGGAGAATGGAGAAGGGATTGCAGTGTGGCCATCCTCCCTGACGGGTGATTTCTCACTTCCCCTCTCACTGTCTCTCTCCTCTCTGGTGAGTGTACAAGCCCAATAGCATAAACCTTAAAAGAAAAAAAAAATTGGAAGGTACTTAGAACCATAGTACATTGGTAGAGTATATAGGAGTGTTTTGTTTTGTTTTGTTTTTTAGAATTATTTGTTTATTTTGACTTATTGTTATTATTTTTTAATTTAACCAACAAGAGACAGAGTGGGAAAGTGAGGAAGCAAGCCACCAGGTCCGGGACTCAAGCTGCGGTCACCCATGTGGGAGTCCAGTGCCTTAACCACTACACCACCTGCCGGCCCCTATATGAGAGTTTAAAAATACCTTTAGTAAGGTCTGTCCCAGCCTCTACTCCACCGTACCTACTTCTCAGATGAAGTAAACGTGGGCTGGCACACATCCCTCCATGGCACAGCAGTAACGCACTGCTTGAGAGAAGCCGGATCCACATGATGACTGTGGTTCGAATCCCTGGCCCGGTCAGCCTGAAACACGCCAGGCATACACAAGAGTGCCTAGGATCTATTGGACTGGAGGGCTGGAGGAAGGGGATCACAGGGTGACCAGACCCCATGAGGGTGCCCCCTCAATGTGAGTGTATACTTATAAGCTCTAGCATGAATAAAAGAAAAATACATTTTAAAAGATGATTTTTAAAAAGAAAGAAAAAAATGAACATAATAGTGGTGGAACCAGATTTGAACCCCTACTTCCTGGCTCCAGGGCCCGAGCTCTTAACTAAGAGCTAAACACAACTCCTGAGCCTTGAGCATGGCCTCCCAGGGAGATGGGGAAGCATGAGGGGCAGGGGCCCCAGGCCCAGGGACCGGCCAGCTGTGGCTGACTTCTGTTCTCTCCGACAGAAAGCGGTGAGTTGTCCTGCTGCCCTGCCTGAGTGCCGCGGGAGACCTGCTGAGGGTGGGGGAGCAGGCGCTCCGGGCTGACCCCCTCCAACCCCCACCCAGAAGGAGGAGAGGGCCCCGTCGCCGCCCGTGGAGGTGGACGATCCCCGGGAGTTCGTGCTGCAGCCCGCCCCCCAGGACCGGACAGTGCGCTGCCGGCTGACACGGGACAAGAAGGGCATGGATCGCGGCATGTACCCCTCCTACTTCCTGCACCTGGACACAGAGAAGAAGGTGGGTGCGAGGTGGAGGGGGGAGGAGTGCACGAGCCACCACCCTTAGGATGGGGACGGCAGGGCACGGGCAGACGGGCCGTCTGTCTCCCTCCAGTCTAGCCCACCCACCCACCTCTCCCCTTCTCCCCAGGTGTTCCTCTTGGCCGGCAGGAAACGGAAACGGAGCAAGACAGCCAATTACCTCATCTCCAGCGACCCTACCAACCTGTCCCGAGGAGGGGAGAACTTCATCGGGAAGCTGAGGTGGGCATGGGCTTCCTAGGGCTGTCAGGTAGGGTTGGGGGGCTCAGGCCAGCTTAGAGGGTCACAGCTGTCACCTCTGTCCTGCTGCGCCTGGCAAGTACCCTGCATGGGACACTGGAAGCATCCCTTAACCCAGAGCTTCTCCCACTTGGACGTGTGTAGGTCAAGCTGGATCTCGTTTGTTGGGCCTGGGGTGGGCAAGACTCTGTATGTCCGATAAGCACCCGGGGACGCCCATGCTGCTGGTCCAGGGCCCTCACCTGGAGCAGGGCATGAGTTCTAGGAGGGCAGGGACCATGACTGTGGTTCACGGATAGGTCCCCAGCACCTGGGACATCGTAGTTTTTATTTTTTAAAAATAATTATTTAATTTTATTATGATGATGTTAATGTGCTATAGTGTGCTCACCAGAGAGAGACAAAGAAAGGGAAGGAAGGTGAGAAAGCAAGCCACCAGCTCTGGGACTTGAACTGCGGTTCGCCAAGTGGGAGTCCAGAGCTTTAACCACCATGCCACCTGCTGGCCCCACACAAGTAGCTTTTCCACAAATATTTACTAAAGGAATGAACGAATGGGCAATATTTTGTTTAGATTTTTGCCATAGGGCACATATGCTTGCTAGAGAGAGACAGAGGGAGAAGTGAGAAATCGGCCCCCAGGGTGGATGGCCACATGGTAATCCCTTCTTCGCTCTCCTCTTAGAATTGTGGGTAACTGCACACATACCTGACATGTTTTTCAGGCCATTGGACCTGGGACTTGAACCATGTGGGATCGTCATGTGGGATCCAGTGCCTTACCCACCATGCCACCCACTGGTCCACATGGACAGCTGTGCTGTATCTTCCCATACATCTCGTTTGAGCCTCACCAGAAATCCGAGATGGGGAGGGGCAGAGGTGAACCTGAGTCAGGTCCTATCTCTTTTTATTTATGTATGTATTTATTTGGAGAGGTTTTTGCTATAGGGTGCACGTGCTTGCCAGAAAGACAGAGAAACAGAAAGCGAGGAATCACCCCCCAGGAGGGATGGCCATGCTGCAATCCCTTGTCCTCCATTCTCCTCTCAGGATCTTGGGCATGCACGCACACGTGCCCAGTGTCAATTTAAGTCACCGGGTCTGGGACTCGAACCACGGTTGACTACACGGGAATCCAGTGACATAGCCACTACACCAACTGCTGGTCCCCTATTTATGCATTTTTTAAAAAGAGGGGCCAGCAGGTGGTGTGGTAGTTAAAGCAACTGGACTCCCACATGGCTGACCGTTGCTTGAGTCCTGGACCTGGCAGCTTGCTTTCTCACTTTCATTCTATCTGTCTTTCTCTAGTCAACTTCAAAAAAAAATTAATAAATTTTAAAATTTATTATTTATTTAATTCTGTTATTACTATTATTATTATTTAATTTGACCAGAGAGAGAGAGAAAGGGAAAGTGAGAAAGCAAACCGCCAGGTCCAGGACTCGAACCACAGTTGGCTATGTGGAAATCCAGCGCTCCCAACCACCATACCACCTGGCGGCCCCTTTATGGATTTTACAAAACTTCTTTCTTTTTTTTTTTTAGAGGCTTTCGCTATAGGGCACGTGCGCTCGCCAGACAGACAGAGACAGACAGAGAGAAAGAAAGCGAGAAATCACCCCCCAGGGGGAATGGCCACGCCACAATCCCTTCTCCATTCTCCTCTCGGGATCTTGGGCACGCATGCACACGCGCCCGGCGTGAGTTTAAGCCACCGGGTCCGGGACTCGAACCGCGGTTGACTACGTGGGAGTCCAGCAACATAGCCATTATGCTAACTGCTGGTTCCCAAGGATTTTACAAAACTTCTACAAGGCACCCTAAATATTCATACACTTCTTATAAAACTCTATGTCAGGTATTGTTCTACAGACGTCTGAGTATTAGCCTGTTTAATCCGTTTACCAACCGAATGAGGGAAATCCTGCTTTGCCTATTCTATAGATAGGGAAGTTGAGTCACAGAGCTTTATTTGTCCAATGTCACACAACCAGTAAAAGGTGGGCAGAGGGGACCAGCAGATGAAGCAATGGTTACATTGCTGGACTCCCACGTGGTCAACCACAGTTCCAGTCCCGGATCTGGCGACTTAAAATTCATGCCGGGCGCATGTGCATGCGTGCCCAAAATCCAGAGAGGAGAACGGAGAAGACGGGACTGCAGTGTAGCCATATCCCCGGGGGGGATGACTTCTCACTTTCTGTCTTTCTGTCTCCCTCTGTCTCTCTGGTGAGTGCACACACGCCCTATTGCAAAAATCTCTCTTAAAAGAGGGATGGACGGAGCTGGGATTTGAAAGCCAGATCTCCTTGTAGATCTAGCTTTTAAAGACTTCCCCTTGGGGTCAGCAGGTGGTGTGGTAGTTAAGTCACTAGACACCTACATGGCTGACGGAGGTTCAAGTCCCAGACCTGGTGGCTTGCTTTTTCGCTTTCCCTCTCTCTCTGATTCTGAGCACATAGCAAATCAAAATAATAATAATAACAAAACTAATAAGTAATTTTTAAAAAGACTTTCCCATAGGGGAACAACTGGGGCAAGGGACGTGAACTGCCCAATCCTGAGGCATCCCCACCCCCGACATAGAAAATTCTCGGGACTGCTTGGCTGTGAGGGCCCGGGCAGGCATGTGGAGTCCCCTCAGCCGCCTGCGGCGCCGCCCTGCTCGCAGGTCCAACCTCCTGGGGAACCGCTTCACCGTCTTTGACAACGGGCAGAACCCACAGCGCGGAGGCAGCGCCAGCGTGGCCAGCCTTCGGCAGGAGCTGGCGGCCGTGATCTACGTGAGAACCCCACGCCCGCCCCGACGCCCCTGGTCAGGCTCCTCCCGTACCGCGTGGCCTGGCCTCACGGGCGTCTCCCTCCTAGGAAACCAACGTGCTGGGCTTCCGCGGTCCCCGGCGCATGACTGTCATCATCCCCGGCATGAGCGCAGACAATCAGAGGGTCCCCATCCGGCCGCGCAACGTGAGCCCGCACCTCCCCACGCCCACCCCCTGAGGACCCATTCCAGCGCAGCGGGAGCTCCACCTACCCCAGTAACCCACCCCTGCGCTCACCCACCCTCCTCTGGCACAGATTCATTCTGGCAACTGGTGGGATGGATTCCACGGTTTTTATTTGTTTTCACCAAAACCACCACCATAGACTTCTTTCTTTTTTTTTTTTTTCCACAGTGGATACCCCATGTTCACATAATTCTTTGGACTTAGATGTTAAGTGCCGAGTGTCAATTCTAGGCAACTGGAAGAAACGTGGGACAAAACGAGGATCTGCCCTATGGAAGCTGGCCATCTAGAGGAAGGAGCAAGTCCATAGATAGTATTAGAATTGTGAGAAATGGGGACCAGCAAATGGTGTAATGGTTACATGGCTGGACTCCCACGCAGTCAACCATGGTTCGAGTCCCAGACACGGCGGCTTAAAACTCACGCCGGGCGCATGTGCATGTGTGCCCAAACTCCCAAGAGGAGAATGGAGAAGGGATTGCAGCTTGGCTGTTCCCCTGGGGGGGGATTTCCCGTTTTCTGTCTCTGTGTCTCTCCAGCGAGCGCAAGTGCCCTGTAGCAAAAATCTCTCTCCATTAAAAAAAAAAAAAATTGTGAGAGGGACCAGCAGTTAGCATAATGGCTGTGTCGCTGGACTCCCATGTAGTTGACTGCGGTTCGAGTCCCGGACCCGGTGGCTTAAAATTCACGCCGGGTGCATGTGCGTGCGTGCCCAAGATCCCGAGAGGAGAATGGAGGAGAAGGGATTGTGGCGTGGCCATCCCCCCTGGGGGGTGATTTCTCGCTTTCTGTCTCTCTGTCTCTCTCTGTCTGTCTGGTGAGCACACGTGCCCTATAGCTAAAACCTCTCCCCCAAAAAATGGTGAGAAATGAGCAAATTATGAAGCACGTTAGAGGGTGAGAAGTGCTATGGCAAGAAAAAAGTGGAAGAGGTGGAGAGATGAGCGGTGGGGGGCCAGTAGTAAACACAGTGAGTAAGTAAGTACAGTGGTCAGGGTGGGCTTCCTGAGAAAGAGGACTTCACTGAGAGCAAAGTCTTGAGGGAAGGGAGCAGGCCTGCAGGTACGTGAGCAAAGAGAGGGAGGAACCAGTGAAGGCCCTGAGGCAGGTGCTGGTGGGAGATGAGGTCGGGGAGGTGAGGATGAAGGGCAGATAAGACCTGCAGAACTGGTTTTCTTCCCCAGAGAAATGGGAAGCCATCAGGGTTTTGAGCAAAGGCTTGACATGACTTATATTTTATTTTTTAAAAGAATTATTTACTTAATTTTACTTTTCATTAGTATTACTTAAAAAGTTGCTACAGGGCATGCACATTCACCACAGAGAGACAGAGAAAAGAGAGAAAGAAAGAAAGCCACCAAGTCTGGGACTTGAACCGCAGTCAGACATGTGGGTGTCCAGTGCCTTAACCGCCATGCCACCTGCTGGCCCCACATAACTGCTATTTTAAAAAGCCTAGGTTGTATGTGTGTTGTGCGTGCAGAGAACGGGTGACTCACAGGCACCACACTCACAGAAGTCTGATGTCACTTTACTCATTTACTGTGAAAAATAATACCCCTGTCAGCTGGTCACACATTCTTCCCTGCTGGAAAGTCATGCCGACATCAGAGGCTGGACTCACCCGGGGGTACCCACCAGGGGAGGCCCAGTCTTGAGGGTTCACTCAGCCTGTGGGTCCCCACAGTTGCTCCTTCCATGCCTGGAATAAACATGCAAATAAATGGTCCAGAGGCAGCAGCTCCTGCCCTGTTCGGGCGTGGTAAGAGCTACCCAGGGCTGCTTGGGCTTCTTCATCACCCACAGCCCATCCATTCTTCAGTCGTTTACGAGACACGCACTGGGCCGGGCACCAGAGATCCGAAATCAACACGACAGTTAGCAACATTATACCCGCTGGGAACCAGCAGACGGTGTAATGGTTATGTTGCTGGACTCCCATGTAGTCAACCCCAGTTTGAGTCCTGGACCTGGTGGCTTAAAACTCATATCGGGCATGAGTGCATGCCCGAACTCCCAAGAGGTGCAGAGATTGCGATATGGCCATCTCCCCTGGGGGATTTCTCACGGTCTGTCTGTCTCTGTCTCCTCAGCGAATACATGGGATCTATAGCAAAAATCTCTCTCTTAAAAACAAATTGGGACCAGTAGTTGGTGTAGCATAATGGCTATATTGCTGGACTCCCATGTAGTCGTCTGCAGTTCAAATCCCGGGCTTGGTGGCTTAAACTCACGCCAGGCACACGCATGCGCGCGCGTTATGTGTATATATGCCCAAGATCCTGAAAGGAGAAAAAAGAAAAAGGGATTGAGGCGTGGCCATCCCCCTGGGGGGGGGGGTGATTTCTCGCTTTCTGTCTCTCTGTCTCTCTCTGTCTTTCTGGCAAGCGCACATGCCCTATAGCAAAAACCTCTCCCCCCCCCAAAAAAAAATATACCAGGTGTTTCCTGAGCACCTGCTCTGTGCCAGGAGCCCCTCGAAACAACACTTCATGTGCTGTTACAACCTTACAACCAACACCCCATTGTGAGGGAAGCTGAGTCACAGAGCTGTTAATGAAAGCCATTTCTACCCTAGAATATCTACTGTAACTCTGTCTAGTACAGCAGTGGGCAGAATGCTAAGAGCAAGGTGTCCTGGAAGCTCAGAGCTGAGACCTCTCAATGAGATGCGAGAGGAAGGCTTCTTGGAGGAGGTGATCTTGAGTGAACTCCCTCTAAACCAACAAATATCCCCAAAGCACCCTCCGCTTCTTCCTGTAGAAACTCTCTCCCAGGACAATGAGCCGCTGTTTGCCTGTCCATTTCCCAAGCTCAGCAGTGAGCTGCTCCATGCTTGGGCCAGCGCTGGTACACGGCTGTCTCCTAAGACTCCACGGGTACAGGGCACCTACTGGGTCCCAGATGCCCCTTCCCATTGGCAGCACTCCACGATGGCATCCCACAGATGAAGTCCCATTCTCACAGATGTGCACCCTGCCCACAAGGCCACTGTAGACAACATTCAGCCACGAGGAGGGCGTGTACAGGTGCCCGGACCCCTCCTCTGGTGAACCCCCAGCTATCGCTCCCAGCCCTAAAACGGCCCTTTCCCTGTCTACCACCCCCCCCCCCACCTGGGCCCCCCAGGCCAGTGACGGGCTGCTGGTGCGCTGGCAGAATAAGACGCTGGAGAGCCTCATTGAGCTGCACAACAAGCCGCCCGTCTGGAACGAAGACAGCGGCTCCTACACGCTCAACTTCCAAGGCCGAGTCACTCAGGCCTCGGTCAAGAACTTCCAGATTGTCCACGCTGATGACCGTAAGTATGTGAGGGCCCAAGCCAGGCTCTTCCTACCACTCCAGGGCCCTGACCCTCGCTCAGAGCTGTCTCTGTCTCTTTCTCGCACAATCCCCCCCACCTCCCCCCCACACACACTAGCCTGCCCCTGCTTGTATCCCCGGAGCTGGAATGTCCAGCAAGACCAGGCTCCCTCCATGGGCACTGACGCTGCACCCCCAGGGACCTCTGTATTCCAAGCAGGTGGCACTGTGGCGGGTTCTTTTCCAGCACTGACCAAAGTCGTGGGGTAGATACCGGTAAGATGGAGTCGAAAGGTGGGTTGGGCTGTTGGAGTTTGAAAACCCAGGAGCCCAAGCCCTGTGTGGTCAGAGGGCTCTGAGGCCCAGGCAGGGCAGTCCTTTACCTTGTCTCTCAGCTCCTCCACGCAGTGACAGCCCTCAAAGTGCAACTCACAGAACTTACACAATAGTCTATTTATTCATTTACTCATGTATTTCATTTTTTTATTTTGACCAGAGAGGGACAGAGCAAGAGAGAAGAGAGTGGGAACATGAGAGAGCAAGCCTCCAGGTCCAGGATTGAACCACGGTCGGCCATGTGGGAGTCCAGCGTCCTTAACCACCACGCCACCTGCCGGCCCCACACAATAGTTTATCTGTGCTAGGCGCCATTCTCCGTATTTCACAGACACTGAATCATTAACTTCTTCTTTTTTTTTTTTAAGAATTATTTAACTTTATTTATTTATTTATTTATTTAATTTTGACCAGACAGAGACAGAGCGAGAGAGCGAGAGTGAGAGTGAGAGAGAGAAAGTGAAAAAGCAAGCCACCAAATCCAGGACTCGAACCTTGGTCGGCCATGTGGGAGTCCAGCATCCTTAACCACCATGCCACCTGCTGACTTCCTCTTTCTCTTTTTTCTTTAAAGAATTATTTTATTTTATTTTATTTTATTTATTTATTTTTATTTGACCACAGAGGGACAGAGTGAGAAAGAAAGTGAAAAAGCAAGCCGCCAGGTCTGGGGCTCGAACCGTGGTCAGCCATGTGAGAGTCCAGCACTCTTAACCACCACACCACCTGCCAGCCCCAAATCATTAATTCTTTTCAAACTACCCTGCAAGGAAGTATTCTTTCTTTTAAAAAAGACATTTATTTAGTAGTAGTATTATTATTTTAAATTTTGCTATAAGGCGTGTACACTCACAAGAGGAAGCAGGCTGCTAGGTCCAGGACCGGAACAACGGTCATCCATGTGGGAGTCCACTGCCTTAACCACCATCTACCTGCTGGTCCCGGAAGGTACCATTTTTATCCCTATTTGGGAGACGAGATAACTGAGGCACTGAGTGGTTAAGTAATTTGCTCATGGTCACACAGCTGCCAAGAGGTGGGTCTGAGGGCCAGCCCATTGTGGAGGAGGCTGGATCCTACATGGTCAACTGCGCGGTTTGAGCCCCAGATCCAGTGGCTTGAAAAACACACCAGGTGCGTGTACGTGCCCAAAATCCCCAAAGGAGAAACAGGAAGAGAAGGGTAAACCATAGCCGTTCCCCACGAGGGGTGCTTTCTCATTTTCCCTCTGTCTCTATCCAGGCAGCACTTGCACCCTCTGGCAACACTGTGGGGGGAGTTAGATCTGGCATTAGTGCCGTGTGGCTCAGTGCCCTTCTCTTAACCTCTTCAAGATGACTGCCTTTTAGGAGCAGGGAATACACACACCTGTGCACGACGTGTATATATTCATTTCTTTCATGAACGAGACAGAGAGTACCCCAGTGGGGTTTTGACACAGTGACCCACCCCCAGCTAGCCCGGATGACAGGCACACACCTGCTTGAAGTACTCAGAAACCTCCCGATGCAAACCTGGAACCTTCCCACATGGGCAGCCTCGAGGTTTCCATTTTTCAGCTAAGCCACCCTCCAACCCCTGGGGGAATATTAATCAAACATCTCTGCCTGTATCTTCCTTCAAGTGCTGTCAAAGGAGTTAAGGAAACAGAACATCCCGTTTCAAACCTCGACAAGTCTCCACTAGGGGACTGAAGGGAATCTTCCCAAGGACTCGGCTCACAGGGTTGGGCCAACACCCAGCAAGCCCCCCAACCCCCGGTATCCCCGGGATTAGCCCCCAGTGTCACCTGTCCTTGGGACTGCTCTCCAGATCACATTTCTGGTGGAGCCTGGTCTGCCCAAGGTTGGGGTATTTTTAGCAACTTCCTGTCCCTATGGAGGCTGGGGGAAGTGTTGGGGCTGGGAACCTGGGTCACAGATGGGATAGGGGCTGAGTGGGGTCGCTGGCTGAGGGGACTCCTCAAGGGGTCGAGCCTGGGGTCTAAGGTGGGTCTTGGGGTGGGAAGGAGAGACAACAGAGGGTGCTGGGTCACAGGGTCCTGTAGCTGACGAAGTGCCCTGGGCAGCAGCCGGCAAGGCAGGGTCCCAGCCCTGGGGGTAGGGGGGCTCACTGTGACCACAGTAAAGCTGCAGGTGGGGCTGGCAGGGTGAGTTAGGAAGGGGGTAAGGAGGGGGGGGTGGAAACGGAGACGTGGCTGAGGGCTGGGGCCCCAAAGACAGGGAGAGGGGCTTCCCCAGCGCTGAGGACACTGCTGAGGATGGGTGTCCACGGAGGTCTGGGCCGCCGCTGCCCCGCCTGTGTCCACAGCCGACTACATCGTGCTGCAGTTCGGCCGCGTGGCGGAGGACGCCTTCACCCTGGACTACCGGTACCCGCTGTGCGCCCTGCAGGCCTTCGCCATCGCCCTCTCCAGTTTCGACGGGAAGCTGGCCTGCGAGTGACCGCTCGGCGCCCCCCGAGCCCGCCGGCGTGTGGGCAAGGATTCGGTGGAGACCCCAAGTCCCCACGGAAGACTCCTCCTCTATCCGGGGCTGACCCCTCACTGCCTCTCGGTGACCTCGGTCCGCTCCCCAGCCTGGCACGGCCGAGGCAGGGGAGGAGCTCAGACGGCGGGTCGGATGGAGATGAAGAACATCTGGAGTTGGAGCCGCACATCTGGCGGCGGAGCTCGGCGCGCCGCGGC